AATTAAAAAAAAAAAAAAAAAAAAGTGATAACCACACCTGATTAAAAGATCAGCCCCGAGCCCCCGAGCCCAAAATATCAGGGCAGGACGACAGGACAATTATTTTCAGCCCTAGCAATTAAAAGCCCCCAACTCCATCTTGCTTAAAAAGCTTTAGTAGGAAATACAGTAACTTAGCTTTTAAGACGGAGTTAGAACTTTTTCCCCTAATATATATGCACATATATATATATATTCCCCTAATATATATGTATATATACACACACGTATATATAAATAAAATAAAAAGTGGTGACCGTTGGCAACCTTCAAAGTGACCAGCCAATCTGGGCCGTGGTTTAAACACTACCTCCACCCCATTTGCTCGTTGTAGTTGATTAATTCCCCAGTGATTTTCTCCGTTTTGGCCTCCGACGAGCGAGGCTGCAGGCTGACGCTGCGCGGCCGCCTCGAGCGCCGTCCCCGTCCCGCTGTTCCCGTCCCCCGCCACGTGCTGGGAGGAGCCCCAGGAGCGCAGGGCTGTGTCGCGCGAGCGCCAGCGCTCAGCGGGCACCGGCAGGACCAAGAACGTGCACAAACAGGGCTCCAAGGAGCAACAAGTGCATCGCTGTCCTACAAAGAGCCCTCCCCCCGGGGCTGTTTGCTGCAGCTGGAGCTGCCGCCCCAGCGCCCTCCCGTATCACGAGGCAGGTGCCACCGCATGGTGCAAACTCGCTTTATTGCGGCCCGCGCTGCGCCCACGTCGCGGCGGGGCCCAGTGCCTTCCCTGCAGCAGCGCTAACGAGGCCTTTTCTCCAGCCACCGTAATTAGCTGTTTACCCCCAAACGTTACTTTTTTGGCACAACTCTCGCAATGACGTCACTCGCTTTCCGGGCAGGAAAATTCCGCGTTCGGGAAATGGGCTTTTCTTCAGGAGCGGCCGCGCGCAGCAGTCCCGGCGGGGTCAGAGCAGCAGCTGCCGGGTCTTCTCGTAGGTGCCCAGGAAGATGAAGCCGCCCAGGCCGATGGCCGCCACGCGCGGGACGAGGCCGGCGAAGAGTCTGCGGGCACAAGGCAGCAGTGAGCGGGGCCGGGCGCCTGCGGCTCCGACACCGGCCTGGCTTTAAACTCCGAGGCCAGCGCAGGGGCTGCCTTTACACCTCCCACCCGCACGACCAGGCGCTCTGCCCCCTGACAAGCCCGAACGGGCACGTTCATCCTCCGGCCCTTCTGGCCATCCCCCCGGCCGGGCTCTCTCCGGACAGAAAGGGATGCGAAACGCCCTGGCGCGAAGCACAAGGATTTACTAGGTGCAAAACAGGAAGTTGAGCCCTGTGCTCTGGTTTTAATAAGGTGGCAATAAGCATCTTTCTGCCCCCAGAATTCCTCCTCTTCAAGTACGAGATTTATTAGAGAAGCCATAAATCATTTTGTGTTGCAACTGGCCAAAAAAGCCCGACACTTTTATTGTTTTTGATTAATAGATTTATAATTGGCAGCAGGCATGGCAGCCTCTGCGTTTATTTTTCCCAAGACTTTCTTCCTTTTCCTTGCAGCTGACGCAGCTTGGCCTACTTCACATGCTGCTTTTTCTCCAGATCCCTTATTGTGTTGATTTCAGCAGATTTGTGCTCCCTTTGGTCCCGCTCCACGGGCACTATCTTTAGGCAGCGTTTAGAGAAGGGCCGAAGCCCCTTGTGGAAAGGCACAAACCCCGGGGTCATTTCCTGCCTCTGCCCGCCCAAGCCCTCACCACGATACCTGCTCCAGGCCAGCGCTCAGCTCCTCGGCAGCAGCCACATCTCCTGGCTCCTGCAAACGTGGCCCTAACCCCACGGAGCAGCCTGCAGAGCCTGCGCAGCCCAGCGGGGCCACGGCAGCCAGGGCCCTTCCTGGAATGAGTGTCCAGGACCTTGGTGCTGCCATTAAAGACCCATTTGTGACACTCTGAGTGGCCAGGAACCACCCACGGTGACGCACAGAGCCCAGGAGCTCAGCATCATGAACGCAGCAGGTGTCCACAGCAGCAGCCACAATAACTTCCAGGCCTGAGACACCTTTCTGGAAAGCTCGCAGGTGCCTACAAACACTAGCAGGGTGGGTTTTCTTTCTCAACCTCCTCCAGGTTCAGAGGAGCAACTGGCAGCCTTAGGAATGTGCAGAGGGCACTTTCCCAGTGTAATCCTGGAGGTTATATTGGGGAGGTATAGACTGTACGTTTGGCCTTGTTTCTACACTCTCTCCTGGTCACTGCATGGTCAGTGCTTGCAATGTACGAGCAGGCCGGAGGGGCCTGCACAGTTGTCTCCGCTACCCGAGAGCTAAGGCTCCCTGTAGACAGCGATTAACATCTTTCCTGTATGGCAGAGCTTAGCACAAATAGACCATCCCAGCCTCCCTGCACCCCAAACGCAACCTGGAGATGTGAGCACGAGCTGTGCTCCTGGGCACGTTCTTACCCCGACAGGCCTCGTGTCCTCCAGATGCCACCGAGAGCAGCCAGAACGTTCCCGCTCGCATTACTGGAACCAGCCTGCAACACAACACAAACATTCCTTCTGGAAAACTCAGGAAAAAGGAAAAAAAAGAGATTTGCTGAGCCTCATTTACTGAGCAACCTGTAGCTGGTGCTACATTACAGCACTGCCAGGGGTCCTAATCTGTCTCCTTACCCCATGCAAAGGTCATTGTGGCCAAACCAAGACAAAAGACAGGAAGGAACATCAGGCACAATAAAGCAGTCGCTCCAAGCTCACACAGCTGCCCCAGGAGTAAGACACTAACAAAAACAAATTCTCAAAGCATCAACAAGTGACTTTGCTGCCTGCTGACTTCGAAACTTGACGGACAGAAGCCTTAAGATTTACTAAAAAAAAATAAAATTACAAATAATTTTTTTAAAAAACCATAAGCAGTGTATTGCAAGCGAAAATTACCCTGAGTGGAAAACAGGCCAAACAGCAGGACTACAGACTGTTAGATTACATGTGTGATCTTCTTAGTGTGAGATAACTAACAAAAATGTTGTTGGAAGGGTCTCGGAGTATCTCGGAGCACCGTCATTCCCTACCCACTCACACAGGGTTGCTGGGGAGAGCAGCAGACATACAGGAATCTCAGCTCTTACAGCTGTATCACGTGCTGTGCACAAAGGCAAGGAGGCCGCAGCAGGTTCGACAGCCGTCAGTGAGAGATGCAAAAAA